CTAGTGGCCCTCTGCCTTTCTCTGCCTGCTGGACCCAGACAGGCCAGAGGGTGGGGAGAAGGAGAAGCACACATCTTCTGTCCAGGACCCCTTCTCCCTACTCCTCCCCTCCTCTCCCCAGCCAGCCAGCCAGCCAGTCTGCCAGCTCAGTCCAGCCCAGCTCCTCCCAGGCCCGCAGGCAGAGCGGAGGGGGTTGGGCCAGAGCAGCCGCTTCCCTGCGCTTGTCCTAGATGGGGCCCCCTGTCATCTGTTCTCATGGGCTTGTGTAGACATAAATGCTCCCACCAGGCTGTCTGCCAACAACTGTCCCTAGTTTGAAAATAAACCTTCCCTCTGCGCACCTGCCCCAGCCTCCGCTCCAGCCTCCGGTCTGCTCAGCTTGCCCCAGGAGAGGGCTCAGCCAATCCTCAGGCTTCTCCCAGATTCAAACTAAAGGGTGGGCCCCCTCCCCCATCAAGGCCTCCCAGATGGCCTTTCCCAGGGGTTTTCCTTGGAAGGTGGGGCAGACCATCCTTGGGTCCTCCCACGTGGTCCAAGAGCCCTGCACGAAACCGCTAGGATCACAGCTCCATCTGGATCAGAAGGACTCTGAGCCTTTCCAGGGAGTAGCTGGGGTGCAGGGGAGGCCCCAGGGAGGCCCATGCACTATTTTAAGTCCACAGAGGAGCCACCTGGGGCGGCAACACAGCCCAACCCATCATTTGCTGATTTCTAGGCATGTGGCCTCCCCGGCCCCTGGCGTGCACAGGCTCGCCTGAGCTCAGAATCAGCCTGCACCGCACGGGAGAAGCACACAGATCCACCCACCCTGCAGCCCATCAGTCACTCCCCAGAAGCCCCCAAACTAGCATTAAAGATAGTGGGGCTGGGGGGTGAGCAGAGAGAGCCAGTGACTAGAAAAGGGCCAAGGGTGTGGGGGGTGGCAAGGGGCCCTCACGACCGTGTGTGGGGGCTTCAGGCTGAGATCTAAGAGGGGTATCAGAGAATGGGTAAAGCCAGGCACGTGGAAGGGGTTGCAGGGTGTCCTCCAGAGCAGACCACGTGGAGCTCCGAACACACAACTGAAGCATGCAGTGTGTTTGTGTACGTGTGTGCCTGTGCATGTGTGCGCGTGAAAATGCAGGAGCCTTGGGTGGATTAGCAGTGCTGGGAGCAAAGCCACACTTGCAGGCAGTGTTGAGAGGAGGCTGGGCAGGGGCTGGGTGGTCAGGAAGAGGCCTCCACCGCCCTCCCCTCCTCCAGCGGCCTTTGGGGTGATTCCTCCCTCCCTCCCACCGAGGATAAGTCTTACCCACGTAATCAGGGTCGATTCGGGGAGAGTAGAGACCGAACTGGATGAAGATGGGGAGCAGAAACCCAAAGCGCAGCCACTCGATGACATGCAGGGGGGGCCGGCCAGCGGGCGGCAGCAGGTCACAGCCCAGCACCGCGCTCTCCCCAGCCCGGCCCACCACGGAGACTACCTCAGGCTTCCCTCGACCTGCAGGGTGGGTGGCAGGAGAGCACAGTGGCAGTTAGGTGAGAGAGAGAGGAGAGTCCATCCACACTCTCTGCAGGGTCCCTGGGAGTTTGTGAAGTGAGCAGTCCTGCCCCCCACCCTCTCTTGCAGGGAACACAGGCAATGTCCCCTCCCCCCACCCCCTTCCCCAGAACAAGAGGGCTCCTGCACCCAGGTGTCCTCACCGTCAGCCCCCTGGCTGATGAGCAGGCTGAGAACGGCCAGACTAAGGCACCAAACCATAGCCCAGCCGCCAGCCGGCCAGCCCCTCCGTGCAGGGCCCAGGCGGAGGGGCCCGCGGCGCAAACAGCCAGCAGGCCCGGTCAGTCCTTCTGGCCAGTAGCAGGTTCAGTTCTCTCTTCAGGACAGCTAGGGCTCGGCTGGTGACCACCGACAGAGCCTCTCCCCGAGACTGGATCTAAATACAAAACGCAAGGCATGTGCACCCAGCCAGTTGGAAAACACGAAACCCAAGGTCTGAGAGAGGAAGGAGCGAAGGAGAGGAGCGGGAGAACAAGGGGCCCGGCACAGGGTCGGAGGCTGAAGGGCTGGGATGGAGGGACAGGAGGGGCGGGCATGCTGGGGTAGGGGAGACGGACAGGGGAGGCCACCATGGGGGCAGAAGAGGTGGGGAGATCTCAGGAAAGCCAAGGAACCCTGGGGCTACCTGGGTTACTGAGGGTCTCAGAAAACAGGCAAGACACAGGGAGTCCTATCTACTCAGAATTCTCAGGAAGTTTGGGAGAAAAGAGACGTGGTCTGGCCTCCTCACTCTCCTCGGTCCCCACTGCTATTAACCCAGACGAGCACCATCAACTCCACCCATGTTCTGTGACAAGCGAGGACTTGGGAGAGCCAGGGAGTCCTCCCCAGGGGCACCCAGTCCATCAAAGGCAAGCCTGGATTAGAACCCCCAGAAAGGACGCCCAAGCCCCCACCCCCATCAAGTCCCTCCACTCCCCAGGCTCTGTGAACCTGAAAGCCTGTCTTCCTCCCCTCGCTACTGGGGAGTGAGGGTGGGGGAGGCCACCCCTACCTGCAGGTAGGGGGCCAGGCAGCTTCCTCCAGGTCTGGGCAGGTCCTGAGCCTGCAGCTGGCTCCACCTCTCATGCTGCTGCCAACAGCTCTCCCTCCCCTGGCACCACAACCCAAGTGCAGCAGCAACTCCAGTTCCTCCCCTAGCTCCTACCAAATGGGGGGAGGGGGGGAGCAGCAGGTATGGGTGGGCAGGGCCTGCCAGGTTTAGCCTTCTCCAGCCCCAGGGGAGATCCCTAAGACCAGTCCTTCGAGTGTACAAGGCAGTGCCAGGGCACGGAGGGTAGGAATTCCTGACTGCCCCAGAGCTGGGGGGCAGTGGGTTGGGCGACAGGAGCGCTGCCTCAGGCCTGGTAAGTCCCAGTGGGCTCTGCCATGCAGCTTCACCCCACTCCTGGCCTCAGTGGTGGTGGCCCATGAGCAAACATCCTTTCTCCTGGCCCAGTCTCTCCTCTCCCTAACAGCACCGTGTCTAACTCCCTCCAAGTCTCCAGCAAACATCCCTCTGCTTCCCACCCGGACACGAGCGCAGCAGCCCCCAGCACCTCCCTGCAAAACCTTTCTGGGCGGAGAGGAGCAGAGGTCCCTCCTGGCTTAGCTTTCTGATAACCTTGGGAACCAGGTACCCCCGAATTATTTTGCTTTTCCTAAGATCACGCAACTCCTTCGCCTCTCACCTTGCCCTGCCCCCCTCCCGCCCCCCAGTATCCCTACTCCGCTTGTCCTGACTTCTGACTGCCCCATTCCCATTTCGCCGCACCTCATCTCCAGCTGCACCAGGTTTTCCGTGCCTCACGGAACTCCTGCCTCCTCAGCCCTGCCACTGCCTCTCCTCCCCGCAATTCCCCCTCCAATTTTTCTACCTCAGCCCACAATGCACTCTGCCACCCACCCCAATTCCCTTCTCTCTTATTTTCTCCGGACCCCTGGTACCCCTCCTTGCTTTGGGGAGGGATTCCAAAGATGCCCTCCCCAACCCCACCGCTAGTCCTCCAGTACCCCTTCAGTTCTCCCGGAACCCCCAGTCCACCAAGAATTCCACTTCACTCTCCAGGTCCTACCCCGCAAAGAACTCCACTCCCACCCCACAACACCGCGCTTTTTGCTGTCCCCCAACTCCGCACTGCCCCCCACACCCCGTTCCATCCCGCTGCGTCCCCGCCCTCACCTCCGCCAGCAGCGCTCAGGCCACACAATGGGGGGCGGGCCCGCCTCCCGCCCTGCGCCCCGCGCCCAGTCGCCTGGAGACGGCCAATCCCCTCCCGCGGCCGGGGGACCGCGGGCGGGCGCGACCCCGAGCCGCTTGGGAGTTGTAGTTTCGGAGCGCGGGGCGGTGCACGTGCGCTCGGGTCGCAGGGTGGAGCTCCGGGCCCCCAAGCCGCTCCTCCCGCCCTGGTCGGGACGGAGCTCCGGCTCTGGGGAGCTTGGGCTGCTCCCCGGGCGTCCTCCCCTGTGGACCAGCCCTCCGCCCCTTTCTCCCCTAACCCGCTCCGGGACCGACGACGGCGGAAACCCGAGCCCGGGCGGGAGCGCCTCCTCCCGGGGGATCCACCGCCCCTAGCTGCTCCGATCCAGGCCCTGTCCTCCTCCCCCCCAGTTCTCTGGCCGGACTGGAAATACCTGTCTGCGGGGCGGGCCCCCATCCCGCCCAGGCGCCGCCCACTGTGCGCTGGGGAAGGCTGCTCGAAGTGAGCTCCCAGCACTACCACTTTGGAGAACAGGCCCCGAGACAAGGGAGAGGCGGCCGGACGTGGAAATTCGCATAGAAGACACGAATGCATGAGCATCTGTTTAGTGACCCTTTGTAACACAGAGAAACCCTGCGAAGTAGGTACACGCCGCAGAATGGGATCCCGGAGCAGAAGGGCCTGGCCTGAGACCTCCCGTCCCTGGCCTGGCACAGCCGGATTCAGGTCCAAACTTCATCGAGAGACTCGCCCCTTGACACTGTAGGCCAGCCAGCAGGCCCTCCGGGCCTCAGCCTCAGCCAGCCCTGGGGATGCACTCCCCCAGCCTTCCTGCCAGGCTTGAGGCCGGGGCACCCAGTCTGGGTTCCGGGCCCAAGCCAGTGCCCCGGCCCTGAGTCATGGGATGATGGCCAGGGTAGCAGGAGCAAAATGGGGCTACCTGCTGCTCACAGGTACGCTGCCCAGCCTCCCTCCAGGTGCTCCACCAGTCCGGAGTCCTCATCCAGACAGGAAGCGGGCCATGCCTGCCTTGTAGAAGCCCTTCCACCCGTGATCTTTACTTCTGGGCTCCTCAGCAACCTGCTGGAAAGACCTTCCTCCCCCCATGCTCCATCAGCCTGCCCCTCTGTCGAGGCTTTCCTTTCTGCCATCCCCAGGGCTTTCTTGAGGAGCCCCCACCCCACCCCAGCGCTGTCTCTCAGGGGGCCTGCCTTCCTCTCCCCACTTTATCACATGGCAGTGGGTTCTGGCATTGTCTTCTGAATGCTGCGTCTTCCTCCCTGGACACACTGCTAATGGAGGTCAGGGCTCCTGTTTACCTCTTGACTCCAGCAGACCCTCCAACCCCTCTCCATCAGGCCGTGTCCTAGCCCCTCTAATCATGTCTTTACCAGCCACAAAGAGCGCCCAAGGGCAGAAGGTGCCTCCTGCTCCCTCAGTGCTGGCTCAGGGGCTTAAATGGTACCCGCCCACCCCAATTTGGGAGTGAAGAGGCTGCAAACATCAGGTGGTGATGAACCACTGTCTTGGAGGGGGGCTCAGCAGCCTTCTTCTGGGTGCCCTGGGCTATTTGCGGGCCTTAGCCTTTCTCTAGCCAGAGACTGCCTGTGAGAAGGGACTTTAGATCCCCGTGCCGCCTTAGAGGGTTGTTCATTCCTTTTACTTTCAGGGTATCTGAGTCACATGATCAACAGCTGTCCTTGTGTGCAAGATGGACCCCAGTTGGTCATTTCCAGTCCATCCTCAGAAGGAAAGGAGTCAGAGGATTAGTGGGGAGGAGGGGCCAGGAGACAGCTTTGCTTCAGGCCAGGGACTGCCGCCTGACTGCCGCCTGTTGGGACTAGGGCTCAGGCCCTCCGAAGTGGAGAAATGTTACCAGACCTGGCTTAGGGGCACTTGGGGCTCCATCCCCAGCACAAAAACAGGAAGCCCTGCTTACCTCCTGGCCCTGCTCCTTTCCAGAGCAAAGGCCCTGACACTTGGCCTCCAGTCAAGGGGGCTGCTAAGACCCCTTCTCCTAGGGGTCCTGTTTACCCAAAAGCAGTGTCCTCGGTCAGCTCAGCTCCCAAGGCCTCCCTCTCCCTGTCAGTTTTCATATTCCTTTTCTGGGGAGGCACTTTGGAGGTCTGCTTTCTCCACTCAAAGGGGAAGGAGAGACGCAGAGAAGCGGAAGCCTGCCTTCTGCCCAGTCTCCAACCCTCCCCTAAAGCCCCGCCTCTGTGGTGCCCAGGGGCCCCTAGGTCATGCCTCTCCCGCAGCTCCAACCAGTGGTCCTCATGCCTGCCCCCCCCAAGGTGTGTACCCCAGGAAAAAGTGCTGTGGCTCAGGGGACACTTGCTGAATCTTCGAAGTGTCCCAAGCCAGAAGCGAGTGGCAGAGCAGGCTGCCCCCCCACCCAGGCTGGCCCCACCCTGCAAGTCCCTCGGGTGGCTCCCAGCACACACACACAACACCCACAAACTGACACACACATACTCATGCACACAGGCCCGCCTGGGACACACACACATGACACACCAGGCGGCTGCAGTACAGCTGGTGGGGAGAATGAGTGAGTTAGGCTCAAGTCTGGGGAGGAATTTAAACTCTTCATGGGGAAAGAACAAGACCTTCAGATTAAGGGCATCTGCAATGGTGGGGGCTGGGGGCTGATGAAAAGGGAAAGCTTTAACCCAAGACAAGACTGGGAAGAAGTGTGAGACATGGAGGCCTAGAGATCCATGGGGCAGATATAATCACAGAGCCACCCCCTGGAGAGGCAGGGGCTCTGGGGAGGGGGACTGGAGGGGGGGGGAGTTTCACAGGAAGGAAGGTCACAGGGCAGCTCAGGCCCAGAGGGACTGTGCGGGGCACAGGGTGAGTGTCCCTTGGCAGGACAGCCTCCTGACAGCGCAGGTGCGTGTGGGCCCTTGCTGATCCCAGATCCCAGTCAAGGCGGAGATGCAGGACTTGCCAGAGCTGCCCAGGGAAGGACGGAAGGCACTTCCTCCAGTTTCGTGGACACTTGCCTTCTGCAAGGAAGGGGCCCCAGGGGCATCAGGCCAGGCTGGGGCCAGGCTTGTCCTTTCTTCTCAGCCTCATTCTATTTCTCCTGAGATTCTTCACCTCCGGCATCTCACGCGTCACCCAGCTCCACCGAGCCAAAGCCCCACGGCCAGTGTCACCAACAGAACGAGGAGGAGCAGTCCTCTGGCCAGGATGCAGACGGGCCCTCCGGCCTTCTGGGAAAGAGAGCCAGGATCTGGAACAGAAGGAGGCCGGACAGGGGCTCACCGCAGGGAGGGGCAGAGTCCTCACAGGGCAGACTCCTACCCGGATTCCATATATCGGGCAGTCTCGAGTTCAAGATCAGCTGCAGTCCTTTGCACCTGCCTGCAGGTGTTCTACTCACAGAGGATCAGGAACTGAGACGGGGAGTAGTTCAACAGAGCAGGCCTTTGGAAGTAGGGAGCACTAGGAAAAGGAGGGCAATCCCGGGACCTGGTCTCTGTGGAACAGCAAGTTTTTGAGACCCTGTGCTCTCTTGGGAAGAGCTGGGGGGAGGTGGTAGCTTGGGCCCTGAGGTGGCGCAGCGGCTGTACCTGCACAGAAGAGCCTAGTGGGAGTGGAACAAGAGCTGACGCTGCTGACAGGGTTGTCGGCCTTGCACACGTAGGAGACAGCTTTGTCCCCAGGCTTCCAGAACACGCTGAGGACAGCGCCTTCGTGGGCGGTGTTGGTGCCGTTCTCCAGGGACGTCCAGCTGAAGGTCACGTCCCGGCCTGCCTTCTCTACAGAGCACGCCAGGGACACACTGCAGGAGCCTCCCCCTGCGCTCTCAAGGTTCAGGGTGACTGTGGCTCTGACAGGCGTCCTAATGAAGACAGCACAAAGGCCCTGTATGTAATCACGTGTCAGATCTTCTCCCCAGCCTCAACCTGGGGCTCCTTCCCCTAAACAAAGGAGCAAAGCCAATGGAACCCAGTCGCCACAGAACCCCTGGCTCCCGGCAGCTGCTCCATGCAGGAGCGCCTTTGGCCCTTCAGCCCTCCTGTATGAGGACCTTGTCTCTCTCAACATTGCCCCCACTTCCCTCCAGACCTTATTCTGTCTCCTTGGCCCATGAATACATAAGCACCCTTCCCATAGTATTTTAGTTTCATTAATGTCTCAGCAGACTCCAGGTAGGACATCAGTCAATGAGACAAGCATTAAGAAGAAAATTGGTTTCAGATAGGAGGCATGTGCCTTCAAAATGTACAGAGAAATGCAGGAGGCATCCACCCCAAGGATGCAGAATGCCGGGAGCAGAAGACCCCAGAGGTATGCAAACCAGCGCCGCCCCCTCGAGTTGGCCACCTCCCTAAACAGCCTCTCCCAGGTCCTGGTCGCAGCTCAGGCCAGGGTTAGGGGACAGTGGAACTGCCCTTTTCTCTGTCTAGACCCCCAAACCATAACCTGCATCCTGAGACCTAAATCCTTTGCATGGGAACCTCAGGTGAGCCAAAAAAGCAGCATGATTGGGTCCCAGCCCAAACTCACCGCAGACCGATACAGGGCTGGGACGCCCTCAGGTTGACTTGCACTTGGTAAGGGCCTGCATTCCCCCAGCTCAGATTGCTGATAAACAGGGAATAGGGAGGGTCCAAGAAGCCCACTCGGCCCTCATAGTGCAGGCTAGTCAACGTGATGGTGGGCGGATACCCCATGGTCCTGGGCACGGTGGTGGCAAGCAGCCTGGTGGAGTAACTGGATCTAACTCCTCACTGAATGGTATTTCCAAGGGAAGGGTGATGGATTCCTGAAGAACTCCAACTATGTCCTTGGGATCTACGTCATCTCCAGAGTCCCCTTTGACTGCAGATAAAGGAAGAAAAGATGAAAATAGCTTAGTTGATGTCTCTGGGCTGCTGAGCCTGGCAGGGTCCGGTCTCCATCCCAACTGGTGCATCTTCTCTGGCCCCCACACTCACTCCTGCTATAACAGGGTGGTCCCTAGGAAAAAGGGAAGTTCCAGGTTCCCTGCCCCACCTAGAAGAAGGGTGGAGCTGAGCAGAGAAAAAGGAGAGAGAAGAAGGAAATGAAGCAGGATGGAGAAGGAGGAGACCTAAGGAAGCCACATGGAGCAGCGGGCATGTGATGAAGAAACCGGGCTTGTTTCCTGACCCTGGACTGGCTTAAGGCAGATGTGGGGGAGATGCCTGTAGGGAGGTAACTGTGGCAGTGTTTATATTGATTTTGATTTTGCTCTCAGCCTGGCCATTTCTGACCCTTTTCCATGGGTCCCGGCCAGAAGGTGCTTTAGTCTAGTGGCAGCTTTCAGGCCTTGCTTTGGGCCAATCCCTTTTGGGTTGACTTTTGCCCATGAGGGGATGGGTGACTTCAGGTGTTTGATTTAGAAGTTCTATTCTTTGTGTTCTGTATTGTATATGTACTGTATTAAAGTCCCTTTTCATTAAAGTTTTATATGTTTTGTCTTAACGTGGCGGATGGCAGAGCCCACTTAGAGCAGGCAGGGTTTGGGGCTTCAGGGGTGTCCCTCTCCCCATGTCCTGGAACAGATTTGCTGCCCTGTAACACTGCCTTCTGGTCCAGTTTGTCTGACTAGAAAACCTCCAGGGGACAGGCATCCATCATGCCCTCGCCCTCCAAATTCCACTGCTCTACACTGTTGGGGCTGCTCCCTTCCCACACCCCAGGTCTCCGCCTTTTCGGGTTCTGCTCTGAAGCTTCACCCTTTGTCCTCTCTACTCCAGAGGAACTAAAGTCCGCAGCCCCCAAGTGAGGGCCCTGTCGTCCAGAACCAGCAGAACACAGGCGAGGTGGGGGGTGGAGGTAGACACTGCCACCTGGAGCCGGACCCACTCACCTTCCTGGAGCAGCAAGAGGGGGAGCAGCCCTTGCAGTGCAGAAGGTGTGCCCTGGTCAGCCTTGGGCCCGTGAGGAGGAGGGCAACTCAGGAGGCTGCCAGAGACAGTGGCAGTGAGGCACCAGGGTCCCGAGGAAAAGAGACCTTTCTGCCCCATCCCAGCTGGCAGCTCTACTTCCTCCCCAAGACCCCCAAAAGCTCCCTGTCAAGAAGAGCTCTCTGAGTCTGTCACATGGCATGTCCACTGACTCATGCTTCCTGTCCACCCAACTCAGCTCCAGCCCCACTTCCTAAGTGAAGCCATCCCAGACTTGCACCCTCTGTGTTTTGAACCTCAGAGGCTCTCTCATGCCCCAAATTCTGAAGATACTTCCCTTGCGGTCCCCATGGTGTGCTTACATGACCTGAGAGGCATCTTTATCCCAGAAGGAGAGTCCACCTTTGGACCATTTCTGTATGTCCCTAGGCTGAACACTCAGGGCACTTAAATGATCTTTGGAAGGGATGCATAAATGTTCAGTCTTTCTATTTCATGCTAGCCATGTTCCCACTTGAAAAACTACTCAGGAGAAGAAAAATTTGACCCCTTAAAAGCAGCAATTTGGCCCAGAGGGCTGATGAAGGTTGTTAATATTATGGAAAGACTTTACACCATTCATTCTGTGAGAATATGAGGTAGATCAAAGCTACAGGGAGTTAGTACAGAGCACAGGGTAAGACAAGACTTTCCAATGTCCAGGGTGCAGTGGGCAGCTTTGAGAGGACCCCTCTGTCCCATGCATTCAGGCTAAATCTGGACGTTCTCCTCTTTGTGTGTTCTGCAATATTTCTGTCATCGGATGGGCCCTCAGACTAGGTAATCTTTATCTGTAGAACTCAATTCTGTGAGTCTGTGCTGCGATGAAGCAGCCAAAATGGAGACCCAAGCCAAGGCCACAGTGGATATGTTCTGTTTTGGTTCTGTGCCAGCATTTCATACCTTCATGTCAGCAAACTCAGCACTGGATCAAATAATATCAAGCAACTTCTATGGCCCAGACATTGTCTTGTGTATTTGTCTCTCTTGGGTGCATGTACTTTTGTTCCTAAAATCAGCTCACCAGGTTCATGTCCTCTGCTTCCTTCATGCATCTCATTCTCAAAAGGTAAGTTTTGTGCCATCCGATTCAGTCTCTCACACAGCAGTCTGAGACCTTAGTCAGGATGGGGACTGGGAGAGCAACCGGAATCCACCTGCTGATCAAGGCCCCCAGGGGCTCCCACCCTGGCCACAGTCTGAGATGGCCACACCCTGCTCCTCTGTCTGTGAAGCCAAAAGGAGGTACCCTGAAGGCAGAGCCTTTGTCCCCACCCACAAAAGACTCAGTTCTCCCCATTAGAGCTGATGAGCCAGCTGTCTTCTGGGCTCAGCTTCCTAGAACATGGGAGTCTCCCCTCTCCTGGTCTCAGAGAGGTGCTTATCTTTTGACAGGTAGGGATGTTGGAGCAGGGCTCATCTGAAAACAGGGTGCAGTTGCTAAAAGAAGAAGCCTTTAGAATCTACTGAGCTTGCTCAGCCCCATATTTTATAGGTTACAGAGATCAGGGAGACTTCACCAAGGCTGCATAGTTCAACAACCAAGTTGAGGCTCAACCCCAGGTCTGTACTTGACACTCATTTGGGACATGACAGGCTGGTGATGACCAACCAGTCTTTGCGCTGTTAGGGTAGTTGGCCACATTATTGATTTGCATTTGTATTGATCTGTTACTGTGAATTTGTATGAGGTGGGAGAGAGTGGGAGGGCTGGAAGGGAGGGGGTGGGGGCTAGGGAAAACAGAGGCCCAAGCCAGCCCCTGAGGACACTTTCCACAGCGAATTCAGAATTCAGCTCCCGTGCAGAGCACAACAGCTCTCCAGTGCTCCAGAACTAATCAGACAGAGGCCGCCACCTCATTTTATCAGAGCTGAAGTCAACTGGCTTATAAAGTTAGCCATCCCGCCCACAAATACTTATGAGGCACCAACGAAGCGCAGGACACTTCTAGATGTGGGTGGCTGCTGTGAAAGAGGAAAGAATGGGGATCCCTTCAGTCAGGATGGGACTTAGGGGGAGATGAGCAATACAAGCCAACAAACGCCCAACACCAAATAATAAAGTATGTGGAGGAAACGTCCAGAAGACAAAGGAACACCGAGGGAAGGAAGCATTGGAATCCAGCTGACCTTCCCCAAGACACCATCAGCTTGGGGAGACACTGCAGAGGGCCACTCAGGATGGTGTTAGGAAGGAGGTGAGTGTTGGTGACAACTCCTTGCGTCCACCTTCATAGAGTGCTTCAACTGGACAGCCAGGACATCTGGGCCTGGCTGACAGTCCCCAGGTAACTGGGTGGTCCCTAGGAAAAGGGGAAGTTCCAGGTTCCCTGCCCCACCCAGAAGTAGGGTGGAGCTGAAGAGAGAAAAAGAGGAGAAGAGAAGGAATCTGAAGAGAAAGAAGGAAGCAGGATGGAGAGCCAGAAGGAGACCTGAGGACGCCACATGGAGCAGCAAGCATGTGATGAAGAAACCGGGCTTGTTTCCTGACCTTGGACTGGCTAAGGCTGATGTGGGTGAGAGACCTGTAGGGAGGTGACTATGGCAGTGTCTATATTGATTTTGATTTTGCTCTTTTCCTACCAGACTTGTCTGGCCATTTCTGACGCTTTTCTATGGGTCACGACCAGAAGGTGCTTTAGGCTTGTGGTGGGCTTTCAGGCCTTGCTTTGGGTCAGTCCCTTTTGGGTAGACTTTTGCCCACGAAGGGGTGGGTAATTTCAGGTGACTGATTTAGAAATTATATTCTTTGTGTTTTGTATTGTATACTCACTGTATTAAAATCCCTTTTCATTAGAGTCTTATATGTTTTGTCTTGATGCAGCTGATGGCAGAACCCACTTAGAGCAGGGAGGTTTGGGGCTTCAGTGGTGCCTGTCCTGTAACACCCAGACAGCACAGCGCCGAGGCAGGACAGTGCTGAGATGCCTCCTTGACCCCTCCTGCAGGGGTCCACTCACCCGCAGTCATTTACCTTCATCTGATGGCTTGTTTCTTAGAAGCAATTTGCACAACTCATTTCTGATCTTCTGAGTGTTGGTGTCACACTTTGGCCCTGAGAGGTAGCCTCATTTTCTCCTTATATGACACCCCATGCCCCGCCCCACACTCACTCTTGCATGAAATACTCAAAGGCTGCAGCTCTCCCATCATCAGAGACAAGGTGCGCTCAGCGGGGAAGACGCCCTCTTTCTTCCCCGTCAAGTTCCCCCAAAATCTTACCTCTCGGAACAGTTTGTGAGCCAAGTGCTCTGCTCCCTGGTCAAACCTCTCTCCCTCGGGCTCCTGGCTGCTGACGGTGGGGCTGATGTGGGAGTGGACCCATCTGAATCTGAGTTTCCCTTCCCTGGGGAACAGGCTGGTAACAACAGCAAGTCTGCTCCCAGCTGTGGAAATGGAGAAGTGGGTCAGGCCTTAGGGCTCTCCCAACCTGCAGGAAGGGGAACTGGGAGCAGAAATGGAGGATCCAGAGCGCAGGACTTGGTGTTAGGGAAGAGGCAATGCAGAGCGTCACTCCAGAACCGGCCATTCCCAGGGAAGAGCGCGCTGGGTGACGTGTGTCCACACAACCAGCGGCTCCCTGAGCCCCGCTGGCCAGATACTCTGGGGGTGATGCCACAGAGCCCACAGGGCCGGCCGAGCTTTAGCCTCCAGCCTCTCTGCAAGGAGAAAGGACCCTGCGCGGCCCACAGCCTTCACCACAATTTGCAGAGAGATGTCTGATGTCCAGACCAAGACGCCCCTCAGACACGACTCCGAAAGCTGCAGGTGCCTCCCTGACGCCAACGGCAAGCCCTGGACCTCCCTTCAGTGACGTGAACTCTTCACTTCGTGTGCTACATTTGTTTTCCAAACACAGTGGAGAAGGAAGGACGGAAACATTAACACTCGTGGGGCATCGGCACAGGCACC